TATGCACAGTACATTGATATGTAGAATTGACGACCGGACAAGCACCCATCCCCCATTTTTTCATGATTATCTGAAAATTTTGAGTGGGTGCTTGCCTGGTATTTTACGGTAACAATTATTGTTTGAAAATGCTTCGTGACGGCGCCCCCTGGTGTCTGCTCCAAGGTGCAAAAAGAGGGTCTGTCACAATCTGATTAGATTTTTAATAGGGAAATCGGCCGCCCACATGTGTAATTTAGGATTTTTGAGGATGCTTAAAGCTCGGTCACAAGGTTGCGTTGGAGTGCGACTGCAACCACTTGCGTCTCGTAGTGCCTGCGTCGAGCTGCTGCTATGGCAACCCTAATGAGTAGCCAATGGGGAGGCGCTTTGCTGCGTGACGCAACTGTGTGAACGAGCCTCTAGAGCCCACAGATTGAGTTATCACCATAAATATACGATCTCAGAACCCACTCGAACGCCCCTTTAAGACTAACGAAGTTTAAGGGTACTTAGCATGCGCATGGTTCCGCCACCTCAAGATTAAAAACAGTCTCTGTCAACAAGCCACAGTGAGCAAAAATATCAACAAAATCTCAGAAGGTTACCGGACACTCCAAAGCTTTCTGTGGATAGAGATACGGAACCAGTGGCATTGCAAATACCAATGGCACTTCATGTCTTAATAGGGGAAATTAGCTAAAACATGTTGGAGCGACAAAACGACTGGGTAGAATTGGTAACAGGTATGGTGCGAAAGGCCTTAAGAGAAAGTGCGTGGTTCTTCAAACGACGGCAAAATATTGCTGCACGCAAATAGCTGGGTCGGCAGCATGCTCCACTCCCACGCTGCTGGCTAAGTTCGATCCCCGCCAGCACTTGCCCTTTTTATATTTACTTTGTTTGAACGACTGGGATGTTCCAGATGACTCGAGAATCATGTTGTTTATTCAAGCTCGAAAACTTCTAGATACCCCTGCGCTTACAAAACGAGCTTCGCGTAGCTGCTTGAATCAGTCGTCCTTCCGTTGCCGTCAAAGTGGGTACGGTTTTTGTTACTTTACGTTCCTCGGGACAAGTTCGCCGCATTAAACATTCATTTTAAGTTTTATTAATCAAGTTTATGTTTTTATTCGTGACATTTTGGTAGAGGTGCGGGGCAACGCATTCTATGCACACGATGCGTACCACCTGTGAACACGATAACTCCGAAGACGACAACCGTGAAGGCGACATCCCTGAAAACATCTGAGGATGACTCCAACTGTGACATCAACAATGACCTCAACTATAGCCTCGAAAACGACCCGGACTATGAACTCGACAAAGCCCCTGACCAAAACCTCAGCGATAACTTGATGACGACTTTGATGACTTCGACGACGAAACGGACAACGACTCCAAAGGCAAACCTTGGCTACGATGTCAATGGCCTCGATGACAAACAGTGTTTGATGACGAAACTGACGACGACACTGGCGATGACACAGGTGATGACTCGAATGACGACGTCGACGGCGACCAGAGGACGACCTGGACGATGGCTTCAACGACGACCCTGATGGCGGACTTGATGACTGTACAAACGACGGGTGTGATGTCGACCACGGAGACGAACAGGACGACGAGGCTCAGCTCGTAACTCAAAGAGCGGAGGAAGTCCGCCAGCTCAGCAGCATTTTGATTAAAGCCGCACAACTTGCTGATGATGGCCGGTACAAACTTTGTCGCCACGGCGCCTGGTTCCAACCCGGCTACCAAATGCGGATCCGAACACCAATTATCGTAGCAGCAAGGAACCGTAAAAGTGGTGCTTTGGACTTAAGGTTCTTCGCTACCTGAGGGACCTAAACTGCAAGCCGTTGCCCGACGGGACAAACATTGTCACACCGCCCTCTGTGACCCAAAGGAGATTGATGTCGTGCGACTCTAACTGAACTATGCTTGACAGGACTGTGAAAATCCATGTTTTAGTTGACTCTGTAGTTTGCCCTTTTCTTGTTTTATGTTGTCAATTTAATTTTGTGATGCATCGGGACAATGTGTTTTTTTCAAGAGGGGAGTGATGCCGCGTGCGAATAGCTCAGTCAGCCGCATGCTCAACTTCCACGCCCCTGGCTGGAATTCAATCCCCGCCAGCGCATGCGCTTTTTATCTCTCTTTTGTTTGCATGACTGGAATGCTTGAGATGAATCGAGAATCTTGTCGTTCGTTCGAGCTTAGAAACTTCTAGATACCCACGTGCTTACAAAAAGAGCTTCGCATGGCTGCTTGAGTTGGCCGTCCTTCCGTCGCCGTCAAAGACATTTTACATTCATTTTAAGTTCTATTAATCAGGTTTATGCTTTTTTTCGTGACAATGTTAACTGAACAATTGACAGCTCCAATGGACATCCACAGGAGTATGCATTTTGTTGGAATTGTAGGCATAAGCATAGAGGTTTCTTATCCCAGTGGGTGTTAAATCAAGACAGCACGCATAACAAGCGAAGAGGAAGACGATCCAAAGAACCATACCCACCCAACCCAAACAGACAGTACACTAGGAAGCATGACAGAAACACAAAATGGACCACAAGAATTATCTTCCATGCCCTATGTCATGCATAAGAGTGAAGGAGTAAGAGGAAATTATTGCATCTCGTTAAGGTAGGGAACTTATTGCAATGTGTTGCGAGAAAATCTGTGGACTTAGTAATTACCTTAAATCAAAACGGAACAAATAGCACACTACTAAATGAGAACCAAAAAAGTATTTGCTACACGAATCAGTTGCATTCTTATCAAATCCTCTTATTTTTTTTAGATTTGCTTCCGAGCAAAAGGGCAGCTTCTCACAATGGCTGTCATTCGAGTTACAGCAGCTGGAGGAACGAAAGGGCGTATTAGAGATGCTAACATAATTCATAGCATGGCTGCGGCCAAAGCCCCACTCTGCTGTAATAAGCTGCACCTGAATCCATTATTTGCAACGCCAACTTCAATAAAAAAAGAAAAAAAAAAGATGTCTGAGATTAAGCTAAAGGCAGCACCACTGGTAGGCTCGAAGAGCTTCTGATTTCCATGTCAATGGTGTCTTAGGTTGAAATGTGCATGTGCCAGCAACTTCAGCATTTAAGCTTTTCCAGTCCACATATATTTGTAACTCAAGCTTCAAAAATGCAAATTAAAAAAAAAAAAAAAAAAAAGGTTCTCATAATTTGCAGTAACTTAAAGAAATTTTCAGGCTGATACTTGGCAAAATGTTACCGGCACATTTTGGGCAGTAATGTGTCAGAGCAGAATGACTGCTTGTAATTCAATCAAGTCTGTAGAAGCATTCAGAATATGGAAGTGCACCTCCCTCAACAACACAAACTTCAACCAATCCTTTACCGAACTGCCGGTTTGAGAGTGCAGAATGCATGTGTCGCCAGGTCGGACTTGGCCGGTAGGAAAGCGCGGCTGCCATTTTGCTGTGTAGTTCCCGGTGTATTTAGGTGATATGCCAACACACAATGCGGAGCTCACTTCATCGCAGGTTTTGTTTCAACTGAAGCTCGGAAAAGCATGCTAGAGCTTTGTGTGAGCGTTACATTGCCATGTTTCGTCTGGCGATATGCCCACAAGCTGCATAGGCTCCTCGGTCCAGCCATCGGGTTCAAATGAGAATGAGATGTCTTTGTCCTAAGCCATCCGCATTATTAACTGAAAATAGCGGAGTCGCGCAAGCTAGAAAGTCGACGTGCTAGAGAAACGTCTCTAGGAGCTTGCAGAGACCAAGCCTAGTGGTGCTCGTGTTTTCCAACCAGAAAAAGCCTCAAACCCAGTCACCACCAGGTTCTATCATTTGCAGATAGGTGGCCTCACTTCTGCGGAAAGGGTAGATTTTTGTATAGGGTGTTTTCACTGACGTAATTTCGTCCACCATTTTGTTGTTGCGATCTCTCTGGCGTGTGCCAAACTCGAGCATTTCAAGGATTTACATGCCTTCTCAAATGTGTAGAGCACCGCTGACATCATTTCAACCGGTTACGATGTAATCCTTCGATGTAGTAAATTTGTTTGAAAAAACAAACTAACAACAAAATGGCGGATTGACGTCATGTGCAAACAACCTATAGACATGTTAACCAGGAGGAAATTGTGAACTATTAAGATTGCCTTAACATATCAATTTTGTGTTTTGGTTGGCAGTTTAACCTTATGCTCTCTGTATTGTGCAATTATTGCGGAGCTGACTTTTGTTTTGCTAGTGCTGTGGAATGTACAAAGGTCAAAAACATATTGTCTACAGAATTTTTTTTTTTTTATTAGGTGGTTTCAAGGTTTACTTCATAAAAATACAAGGCACGCTGGTTGAAATAATTAAACGTAAACATATTCGACATAAGTGTCTGGTTGGTCTAAACTTATAATCAAAGGATTTGAAATATACGAGGAAAAAATAATGAGTACTTATGCCGTAGCAATTATGAATGCACTGCATGAGGAGGGAATATTCTTGCTTTACCCGCGTTTGAATAAGTGTGAAACTGTCACGTTAACCCGAAACGCAATATAAAACAAGCAGCAACGGCGCACTTCGTAACATATCGCAAAAGTACGAGGAAAACGACCACATGAAACCGCTTTACCAACTCCTCTTGCCTCAGCTTTAATTCTAACATCGAGAAAAAAAAAAAAAAAAAGACGAGTGAAAAGCGAAAAAAAAAAAAATGAGACCTTTAAGATTTATTTTTTGGCATTTCTTGGTGGGTTTCTACTCGCAATTCGTGTGTGAATGTGTTCTTTCCTCTACCGCACTTTCGTGTCACTCCGAATTTTCATCTCAACCGAACACCGTTCTCAGGCGACTTGTCCACGAGCCCATAATGTCAAGACTTCCAGCCATGCAAGCGGGCACAAACGATGGACTTATACAAATTCTACGAGAGAATTAATGCCATTGCGGGAAACCAGTGAAACGTGGGGGTTTTCTGGAGTGGCATGTCACTCTCACACCGGCGATAAATCCAAACAACAAAAGAATATCACGATACCTGGCGCAGCCATTTCCTCTGAGCGTTATAGCTCTTCTTGCTGGTGCATACGATGAAAGCGATATCAAAAGGCGAAAGACGGACCGAAGGATGAGGAATTTAAAGCGGGCAAGCAAACATCCGCAAAAAGGCCACCGACGTCTCTCTCAGGACCAGCTGGATTGGGTTGGCTCTGATTGGCTCTGACTGGCTCTTTGCTTACGTTTACTTTTCTGTACCATCTGAGTTTAAATTTAGACAACTAACAAAATATTAACTCTGTTACATATAAATAAATATAAAAAACAACAATATCATTTGACCAACTATTTCTTCTGATTAACTGTGATTTTAATCTAAGTGGATAGAGGGCGCATAATGTCGTCCCTTTTTTTTTTTATGGTTCTAAACATGTAGAAGGTCTACATTGTTATTTCTTCGTAGCTCGTTTTCCCTGTTTTGCACGCGGTTTATGCTGCTATTTTTTTCGTTTCTTCTTCGTCACTTTTTGGGCCACTAAGAACAATATAGTTACTCTGCTCGGACGGCAACGGTGATATGTAACGTAGGGTATAAAGGGCTAGAGTTATGAGTATTGATAGAGTTAGTCATCAAGAACGCTGTCGTATCACCGACTCGAATAAACGAGCACACCCCTCAACCGTTTTGTTTCTGTTTTCGTTTTGACTTCACGACGTTTCCGTTTCGCTCTTGTTTCTTCGGAGAAGTTGCCTTGGCGTCATAACGCGAAGCTGACCGGCTCAGATTGTTCATTGACCTCAGAGAGTTCTGTGCAGAGAAGCGAGCGTGATCAGCGTATATAAAAGTCGCCTTGAAGATTTGCACCCGTTCATCTTGGAAGAAAGCTCCAAATTTTCCAAGCGTGAGTCAAGTTTTACGTACTAAATATTGCGCTCATGTTCCGAATGAATTGGCATGCCCACCGGACTGATTGACCACAGTAATGTCTGCAAGGTGTCGGAAAAATATAGGTAATAGCAGTAGCCAGCGTAGACCTGGACGTCTTAAAGCCGGTGCTATTTAGGTCAGGGTTTTAGTCACGGTTCTCGTGTTGCATATATCTTGGAGGGATTCAGATGTGTGTATATCTATTGTTTGTGTAGGTAAATAAAACAAAGGGGGGGGGGGGGGGGCAAAGGGGGTGGGGGCGCATTGTTATTTTTGGGCTAACACTGATATTTTGAGAGATGTCTTGTAGTCGTTTCAAATTTTGCGAAAGGATGTTTCATTCGCTGTCGCAGGAGGTGGCTTTATTTTTATTATTGCTTGAATTTAAGATTGTTCATGATACAGTAGTATTGGCTCGTTCGATTTACGTGCATTGCAGTCTGCACCCATAAGCCGAATGAAGCGTCGGGGTGTTTGACCGCTTCACGTCGTTGACATTTAGCTTACATTTATTTGAATTTATTATAGCGTTGTATACCTTTTTTACATCAAACTAAAAGCTCTTCAACGCGCAGTGAGCTAGACAACTCTTTGGTGAAGAAGCACCCATGATAAATAACAAAACCAGAGTTGGAATACGCAAGACCAATACCAACACAATAGACCCTGTCCTTCAAAAAATACGTCCTTTACCGCAAAGGGGCGTGCGCTAAGAGCACCAACAATCTGATAACCAGGATTTCGTGTTTTCGGAGTGTATTTCTCGTGAAATTAGGGGGGTGTTTTTCGGAGTTAATTTTTCACTGGGGATTTGGGGTTTATCGGAGTTTATTCTTGTTCGATTTAAAATTCTTTGAAATTCGGAGTTTGTTTTACTGCGTAAAATTTAAAAAATCGAAATAAATATAAAAAGGTCTGGGTACCATGACCCGTTGTTCCTAAGAAACCTCGACTTGCTAAAAGGCAAACCCCTTTTTTTAGTAGTTCTAGATTTCAAAGGAGACTGAGGTGGAATCTCTTCAGGACCACCGACCTTGTGCTCTTATAATGTTTAATTGTAAATCACCGTTTTTTTTTTTTTATTGTTGTTTATTTTGTCGCTGTGACTTCGAAATTTTGAGTTTTTCGAATAAATACGAATTGACGGAAAATTGACCGGCAAGTGTTTTTCGGATTTTTTCGGATTTATCCGAAAACACGGAACCCTACTGATAACTCACTTCCAAGAGACTGTACTGTATACCAGGGGTCTTAAACTCATTTGAGTGCGGGAGCAAGATAAGCCACCTCAAAAGTTGGTGCGCCAGCAATAAACAAAAAAAAAAAAATTAAATAAAAAAAAAAAAACAAGATTAGGACAAAAAAAAAATGCAGGGATGATGCTGCACGTTGCAAAGTAGCTGAGACTTCTAGCGACATTCAGAGATTCTCTAAAGAAGGTATCTCCCCACTTAGCACGAGAACGCCCTGTGAACTTTCCGGGAGTGTTCAAAAGAACATAGGCAACACTCTTGGAATGTTGCAGATTTACGTAAGAACATTCTATCATCGTTGTCAGAATGTGGCGCAGGCACTTATCGCTACAAATTCGGGGAATGTTTTCTAAAGGACATTCTTAAAACGTTCTGAGAACGAAATATAACATTACCAGGACATTCAATCAACATTCACATATCCTAACAAGGTTCTAAGAACGTTCTCAGAACATCCAAAAAACCTTTGCAACTTTCTTGAAATGTTGCTAATGTATATGCAGAGACATCCTTTCAATCTCATCGGAACGTGGCGTGGGTACATCGCTACATTCAGGGAACATTCCCTGAGGAATATTTATAAAGATTCCACAATTACGGCTTGCTTAAAGCCCCAATGAGCCGCATACACATATGGATGTGATAAAGCTCCTTATGGGGCGATATTTTTTAGTCGAACAAGATTTTCAGAAGGCACAAGCACAAGCTAGCCGCTTCCCCAGCGCACCAGCCTGAGCACGTATTAATGACAGTTTACTCCTACCTGTCGCTTGTCAAATTCTTTCATTAATAATGTGCTGTATACATAACAAATTACTCACTCCGACCTTAAGAACAAGTACACATGGCATCCCACATTCAACTGGGAAATACCCTTTTCAAAGTTTTAAACCGCAAATACTAAAAATCTGGTCCATTCAAAACTGCTTCTCTACATGCGCAGTGGGTGCCAAGTTCGTTATCAATGAAAACCATTGCTTTTCTCCTACACCTTATATCACATTCCTCGGTAGACTCATATAAGATAAAACTGGCTCAATTTCCAGAAACTCCACTTAATTTGCATATTTTTGGCACAAAGTGGCATATAGTGGGGGCGGTGTTTCAAACCACAGGTTGCGTGAGAGCTCCGTAAAGTTGGCGTTACCTGCGTAAATTCTAAAAATGTTCGCGAGCGAACTTTCCAGGAATGTTGCGCATACAAATGTTCGAAAGGGAACGTTCCGAGAACATTGTGCGTACGAATGCTCGCCAACGAACGTTCCTAGAATGTTGAGCAGCTTACTTTGGGAATGTTCGCATACGAACGTTCCTAGAACTTTCCGAATGCTGTTTTAGCGTTCCTTCAACATTCAGAACATCCAAGAAAAGTTGGCACAACATTGGGTGCTACTTGGGTCGTGTAATCTGATTTTTGTAATATCGTCGTTTTGCCAGTGACGTCTCTATCTTTGATTTATTCATACAACTATACTTTGGGTTTGTACCTAGTGTGATTACAAGATTTAAAATACCACTACTTCGTAAACACCTTGGCATCTTTCAATCAAAGTAGAAACCAGGCACACAATCGTTGCTATGTATCCGAGTTCAATGTCTTGGAACAAAAAAAAAACACAATTTTCATACAGTGGCTTTTGCTTTGTTGACATTTTCTCTAGCAGAGTTATAAGAAAATACTCGTGTCTTAAAAGGGGCAGTGCAACGATATTTAATTGGAATGTTTTTTACTTTACACGAGCTTACTGGCACTAGTGGAACTCAAGGATACTCGCACGCAACGCCACTGACCAAGAAACTTCTTTGTTGCGCTGTAATTTCGAGGACAAAACCGAGTGTTTTCATTCAATCTCTCCTTCGCAAAACCTGATGACGTAGCTGGGCGGTAGCAGTACCGCCCAGTGACGATATTTGAATGCGGCTCATTGATTGAACCCGAGCATGGCGTGGACGCTCAATTTGGGCTCGTGATAATTCAATAGCGCGAGAAGCGTTCGGGTAGTGTCCTGTGTCCAATCGCTGCAAGGACTACAACAGCCGAACCATAACAATGCCTGGAACTCAGCGCGTGTCCTTTGCCTTGCCAACCCCAGCGCATGGCTATGATCAACATTGGCGGCATATAATCAGCTCCAGATCACGTGGCCGCTTGTTCTGGCTGTGAGTTGAGGGGGTGAACTCTGCTCGCTTTTCTTTATTCTTTTTCTGCGACTTCGATTGCGTGTGGTGAAAAACGAATGGGTATATCACAGGTCATTAACGTCAGGGATCCGTTCTAAGCGGTATTTGCTAAAAATACAAAAATCGTTGCATCGCCCCTTTAACGGTATGTTAGAGGAAATAACCCTCGAGTCTAAAAGAAAACAGATTAGTGCCATATATGTTAAAACGTCATAAGAGCAGAGCTATGTTTCTAAAGCAATTAAATGGACGATAAGAAGTCATTATTTACGGCGCATGCAGCGCTCGAGGCATGGAAACGGGGCCTCGCAGCCACGGGGTGCTTGCGAGACGCATCCCAGAGAGCCTCGGGCCGCGTGTTTGAGACCCCTGCTGTGTACTATGGATAGGCTTGCCATTTTTATGATGTCTTTTGCACACGCCACTTTGCAGTATTTTAAGATCGAGGGCGTAATTTTTGAAGGGGTCTTTAGAAAACAAACACGCTCACACAGCTTTTGTAACAAATGCTTAAAGCGCGTACTCCTTTGAACTTTCAGTCGGGGTAGCTTGCATTGACCTTTGAGTTTGCATTGACCTTTTTGAATACTCCGTGAAACAGGTGTATCATAACTTTCAGAACTAGGAGAGCTTTCGGCATCGTTGAAAATTCTATTTTTACGACGATGAGAAGACCATGTCGTCCTCACCTCGTATATTATATAATGACCAGATCACCATCACTATACTCAGCGACAACTTTTGTTGGTATTGGAGGTGAAGGTACGGGCACACTTGCCCTCTCCCTTTTTGAGAGCTGAATCCAATACTCTACTTTTGACTGAATCAATCTGCGCGCACGGCGCACGACCTCACCCCCTCGTAAACACCAAGAAGAGTTGTCCTCGAGTACAGACCTTTTCGTCTCAGTAGATGACTACACAGCGGATAGAGGACGCTGACGCACTCACCATTATTAGGTTGCTTCAATTTTGGTTGGTTTTAGTTTCAACCTGCACGTGGCTGTGTTGGTGCTTTATGTTGTTGGTGTACCAATGAAAGATTGGTACGTATCGCCACTTGGAGAACCACAAAGTGGTTTCCAGCCTAAAGTTCATGGGGTAGGGAAACGAAATTCCAGCGCTAATTTTCTAGCTTGAATGTGTTGCATGTTTCACCCTAACCTCAAAAACACCAGTCTTCCGTTGAAAGGCACAAGAAAACTACGGTAATTTTAAAGCTAAATAGACGATCTTTCAATGTGCACCTGGAGGATGCATGCGGAGCCTATTTGGGAGGTGATCTAGCAACGTTGGGGAACTTGCTACGTAGCCGTGACGCAGAAGATTCCTTCGGAGCAGCGCCGCTCTTCGGAATTTCAACATTTTCCTTCTTAGCTTTCCTCCTCCACTCACAAATCGCGCATTGAACCAAACAGTCCAAGAAGACGAAAAGGAGGGACTCCCCTCTTTCTCGGACCTTCGTTTGTGCACCCGGATACAGCCATCCTCCCCCTAGAAGATTAGCCCGTCGCTCAAAACTCGGACAAACGTTGCTTTTC